GGCTCATCGCCTGTACAACTCTCTGTCGTCACTCACTCAACACTGCTGTTCGCACACACTCACTAGGATCACCCTGGATACCTCACACGCATCACTCTGCACACTCACACACACCCGCACACACCTACAGCTATGGCGGCTATGGYYRCTRCTACTCTATCGCTATGSCTAACTTCCTTCTYGCCCACTTCGTCCTCGGGCTCACTGCAGACCACCTCGCACRAGTCGCTATGGCAGCGCTTCCGCATGGCTCAYRCAGGAATGAATGAATGGCTGGGCGCTGCCTCCTGATTTATACTTCTGTAGTTTGCTGGTCTGGCCCTTTTCCCTCGGCCCATTATGCACACAGTCCCGTATGGTACTTGCTGGATTGGACTGGGACTGACTGGACCGTAATGCTGAATGCATGGGGTTGGACCGCAACCTCGCTGCAGTCGCACTGCCAACGCACTGAGGTTGGCTCCACCACTTGCCCGCTTGCCTCTGTCTAAACGTGGACCTACTCCGAAAGGCCACTTCCGGAAGTCTGTAGACTTGGCCTTTCGGTACTGTAGCAGCTACGACCTTGACCTTTCAGGACTGTAGCAGCTACCACCTTGACCCTTCGGACAGGCTACAGCTACGACTTCTAGAACTCACTAGGACTCCTATCCGACAAGTCCACAGATCGAACCCCTACCCCTACACCAACCTACGACAGACAACAACAACTGTCAAAACACCGGTCACGGGTTCAAACACTCGGGGTCAACACCAATACTGTACACAGGTAAGGTGAGAACTAGGGATCGAGCCCTAGGATCTGCACTCGCTACTGCTGACATGTGAAAACCGTTTCACTGGTTTGTAACCACTGCCAATTTATTCCTCAATCCCAGCCCCCAGGTCATCAGAAACCATCTTTGTCTCTTCCTACCCGGCTTTTTCCTTAGCACATTCCGATCCCAATCGACCAAAACCGATGTACGCAACTGATGGCGAATTGCCAACTGCATCTGTTGTGGCAATACTGATTCGTTTCTGAAAACTTTGGCGTTCCATCCGTGCCATAATGTCCAAAAAGCATAATAGACCTAGCTACGTGGGCTACGTACCGCCATTCTGGTTTACTGTTTAAGTGCTTCGGCAGCCGTCCGGTTAAAATCCACGCATCGGTTCACACCAGGACATTATTGGTCAGGTTCCTCCAGTGCTCCCTCCACCAAGTCCACAGCTGTCGAGCTATTGGACAGTCCAGAAGCAAATGTCGGATGGATTCCTCTCCGAAATCACATTGTGCACAAGCCAAATCTCTTTTTTTTTTCTTTTTTTTTTCTTTTTTTACCATTTCTCGATTTATGCGTGTCGTCCTTGCGCAGGGGCCATGCTAATCTTCTCTGTATCGTTCCAATTTTAACGGATGTCCCGAAGGACATACACAAGCCAAATCTACTTCCATTCCTTGTTCTCGTACCCAAGAGGCAAGAGGTCGTGGGAATAATCCCTCGGGATAACCTCCCGAGGAAACCAGCGCGTTTCCTGGACGCAAGAAGTTGTAGTTGAGCCCACAGAGCCTTCAACATGTCTCCTTGAGAGCTATCTGAGGGGTCCAAGATTTGCAGCCGTTTCCTCCAAGTCTGTTCCTCTGATTCCGGCGGAGGTTTTAGCATCACCGAACCCAGTTTTGGTGTTATGTAGTGTTCGATTGAGATCTCCTTCTGCTTGGGGTCAGTTGTTTCCCAGTAAAAGCTCTGTGGCTCCGAGCGCATCTGGTCCACTGGGATTCCCCTGCTTTACAGTCTTGCTGGTTTCCCCCCTCGCCAATTAGAAGGAATTTCCACCCTCACTTGCGCGCTCGCAAATCCTCCACCGGTCGTTGTGTCGCTGTGCCTTCGTAGCAGATATATCTTCCTGTGTTGGTCTGCAGTGCCTACGAATGGGCACTGCAGACCAACACAAGAAGTTATATCTGCTATCACTAGATAGGCCCAAATCCTCCACAATCACTAGATCTCCTTCATCTGATATCACCCATGCATAAGCCTCATCCTCACCATCGGCATTCGCCAGTTGGTACCAAGACTGATTGGCGAAGCCATCTTCCAAGAGCAGATTATTCCATTCATCTGGGATAGCGGTTCTCAAGTCTGCTGCTCTTGGCCCGACCTGTCTCAGTCTCCCTAATTTTCCCCCCAGATCATTCCCTTCGGTTAAATTTTCTGGGTGATGTTCACCAGGCAATTTTCTCTGTGACAATCTCTATAACCAGGACTCCCTCCACTGCTTCAACCAACTGGCCTACTGATAGCTCAGTTTGTACACCCCCCCTGGACTAAACTGAACTGTTGAAACTTGAAATACAGACCAGGTGCTGAGTTCGAACTCCACTGGAAGCAGATGGGTAAATTACTAAAATAGTAAAAGTAGTTTAAAGTACTGCAATTCTGAATTACCTTGGGCTGGACAGTTCTATGAGATGATGATATCTCAAGGCCCTCACCCTGACAAAAGAAGAAGAAGAGGACTTCAGAGCTTTAGTAACTCTCCCTACAACAGTTCACCCGTCAGGGTTGGAGCAGCAGCAGTCAGGGCTGTCACTACCGTCTTCACCCGAATAGAACACCTGGTCATTATCGCTGCATCTGGACTGAAAGTTGGGCCAAATGCAGCTATAATGACAGGGCGTTCTATTCGGGTGAAGATGGTAGGCAGCCATGGTCTGTTCCTTTGTTGACAGTTGCATGTCTCTAGTTTGCTCTTTGGCTGTGGCAGCGTGAACCTACAGTCCGTAAAATATTAAAAAAAAAAAAAAAAAAAAGAGTCGAGCGTCTGGTGTCGGGGTGGGGGGATATTTTTATGCTTTAGACGGGGTGGGGGATATTTTTATGCTTTTGTTCGTCACAGGCGCCCCAGACAGAATGCAGTGGTTGGCGAATCTGTTCACAATCTAGGAACAGTGGCCCCGACCTGCAACTGGGGTTGAGGTGGAATATCACTTGCCGTATGATCTGTTAGTGGACTCTGCAGACTGTCGACTATTCCACCTCCTGATAAGTCAGTCAACGACAGCGGAACAGTGTCACCCACCTCTGTTTCTTGCCCTTTCTCCTTTGCGTTTTTTTTTTTAACGGCCGGTCATTATGTGAGGAATAAGCCCTCACGTGGCCCTAGCCAACATGCACACGATCTGGGCTGAGGCCCCCAGCAAGCATCGTGCCCGCCCTAAGTGAAGGCGGGCCTGAATATCCACGAGAGGCCCTTATCTCAGCAACTAATTTCCAAAGTGGGTATCAGACAGTTGCAGCACGCCAGTTGGTTGAAGAGCAACGTGAGCCACTCCCTGGTCTCCTTCCAGAAACAGCAGCCGCGTCAAGCAGTTGAGCCCAGGGCCGGGTGGTGCGCCCTGGGCACACGCAGTGTGAGGCCGACACATCACGAAGTGGCCGCGGGCGAATCAGAATGCAGCGTTGTCGTCACAGAGGCCCAGCGAGCCAATGAGAAGCCGGCAAACACTTTGGAGCGTGGAGGCTGCCTAGACGTGCCCAACCAGAAAGGGCCCAGGCCCCCAACTGTCGGACAGGGCCTGGATGCAGACACTGGGGCCCGACTGGAAGCTACTGGGAACTTCCTCAGCCAGGCCCACGC